CAATCGTAGAATATAGCGGGGAACATAGCAATTTGTAGCACACTGCTTGCCCAGAGGGAAATCACTAGCTTGTGTATACGTTATGTGCAAAGGGGGTGGATGGGTGTTGAGAATGATAGTGTGCAGACTGTAGTAACAGGGAGGTGTTAATAGCTCGAGGTGGTACCACGTCGTGAGTTTGGTGCTTAATATGATTGACAGCACGAATGGGTAATTAACGAGCGAGTCGCTTTCACGTGCAGCACACTCGACGGGGTAGCATATTTAGTGCGGCCATACTTGCTTCCATAACGTTATTATCCTAAGTTTAATTACTGTAGCCAGATATTTTGAGGAACGTTGATCTTCTATTTGTCTACAGATTTTAGGGGTCCAATTCAATATGCATATATTCGCAAATGTAAATCAATTCCAGAACTCAATTTTCAGTTCAGAACATTTCTAATAACTACATCATAAATTGATGATTTTCCCTTATTTTTAGATTATAGAGGGTTAATTATTCAGAAAATTGTTCTTTACATCTTTGGTCTAATGGAAAAACCAACGAATTTCTTTGACTAATAAAGAAATCTTCAAAGCGGACTCTATGCTTTCAGCTTATTCAACCTAGCTCAATACAGACTCACGCCCTTAACCTGAATTTTTAGTCCAATTACCTTTTAAGCTGCAGGTCGATATGGAACCGGAAAGAGTCCTGGCGTGATTGGTCACGGCCAGTAGCAAAGGTGTGCCCGTGATGAAACTCTTCGACTTGGTCACTAATTGCTTTTGCACCGCGTAGCTACGGGTCCGTCGCCGAAAAATCGGCGAATCGAGGAAACTATCGTCGTATTGAGGCATTTTATCACATATTACACTGAATAATCAATTCTTGAAACATGGATCCTCCATAGAATTCATCGCACCTGTATCCATTATCTCACTGCGTCTATTAAGCAAAGTGTTCTTCATCTTCATGTTGTACTTGCACTGATTTAATGACAATAGAGTTTTTTCATTAATTTTTTCACTCACGTCGTTTGTTTCTTAACTTCATTTTGAGATAAATTTATAATATGCGATTGGTTTATTGAACTATGATCAGGTTTCTACAGTTTCTTAACTGTTCCTATATAAAAAAAGATTCATCATTTTAACAACGAGGAGGATTCCATGAAAGATCAGGTATTGAAATTAAACGAAACGCGATGACAGTACACCTAAATATAAGTGAGATGATACATTTAGCTGCCTCGAGTACTATACCAAACTAGAGTACCCAAACATATTCGACTTCCAGGATATCTATTTTAGACGAATCTTCCGTTACGATTTCTTGTCCGCTTCCTAGTCTATCCTGCACCCAATTTATTTTCACCCAATTACTTTTAACCCTAAATTTTTAAAATATTTTTGCCCATCCAGGGTCGCTTGAAGACATAAATAACAATGGCCATATTGAGAAAAAAAGGCAAATTATAAGATACCAGAAGAGAATTTGTAAAGAAACAGAAGGAAAGAGTTATTGTTAGCAAAGATCCAATAATAGGTAACTGGTTGATAAAAATGCATTGAACAAGAAGGCAAGGTACGTCTACGAGATCCAAGAGTTGGCCAAGGTTCCATCAGTTTTCACGACAAACGATCAACGATTACTGGAGCGAAAAGTCCACCCCTTTACTCCACCTATCACGATTCCACGTCGCTTTTACTGTTTTCCTAGCAACGTGTATGATTCTATAGGAGAGCAGGAGGTCGATCGTGTAACTCGTTCCACGCTGGACTGGGCACAAGGACCACAGTTCTTCTGGCTTGTTTGTTCTCACAAAATTATCGAATTTTATGCACACTCGGGCCTTTGACGAAGAAACGAAACGTGACCTCGTTGGTTGGCTAATAAAATAAGTGTGAAACGAGTAAAAAAAGAAATACATGACGTGGATACAGTTGTGATCTATACATTACATATTTATTAAAAACTGCATATTTCGAGCTTTCGAATATCAAAAATTACTGCAGAGTTCGGAATTCCAGATTCATAGCTACTTTCCCTAGGGAAGCCTGATTTGATCGCGAACTTCAATTTCTAATACCTCGGCGTTCCAATTATTTAACGTACTCGAACGGCCTTGCGATCATGCAAATCCACGAGAATTTCATGCCCGGTTGAGATTTCCTGATTAATAATAATTAGCACTGATGAACTTGCGACCCAGTTACGCTCGACTCTTCCTGTCGCGCCCAAGGCGCTCCGTTATTTTCGGAGTTCGATGGACCACCACCGATTCGAACGACTCAGCTCTCGAAATATCAAAATTGACAAGAAATGGATGAATTCGAACCAAGAAATTCAATTATGTATTAATGAAACACGGTTTGGTCCTTTTAATTCCAAATGAAAAGAAATGTGCATTCTGCGATTGCATCGATGCACAAAAATGCATACGATTCTTTTGTATTAAAAACACTATATGCAGTTATTAGGAATATGCGAAAAATTATCATCTTTTGAAGGCAATTTTTTTTATTAATACTTTAGAAATGATAATCATTTGAATGACGAGATATCTAGTCTTGTCTGATTAACACGACCACCAGTGTAAATGAATCGTAACGAAACAGACGACTTCACCTCCGAAAATAAATTCAACGGGTTGCATGTAAAATTTTATCGTCGACTCTCCTCCTACCCCTCTCTCTCCCATACTACGCTATTCGTTTCAATTTCCCATCGCTTTTGCTTTAATCGCGGCGTTCCGATGATTACGAAAATAATCGCGACAGCAGCGTTCGAAAATTTAATATCGAATATCCTGGCGACGGTTGGCGAATAAAAAACAGGAGCATGTTCGCGAGCAGGGGTTGCGCTGTAAACGCTGTGTAGCGCAATCGAAACGTCGAAAATGAGGGAATATTTAATATACGAATGAATTGCAATTAAACAGTCTGCACGTGAAATTGCATTCCACGTTCTTTAACAATTGATTACTTGGCTGAATGAAAACAAATTTCGAGTGAACTCTTGCAAAACTACCCCTATGCTTTCAATATACATATTTATGCAAATTTTCAAACGGTGGAAAAGTGAAATTTTCTATTGCTTTCAGAATCGAATGACCGATAATTTCTTTGGGAGACGCATAGGGTGCGTCGTTGGTCTTGAACGTATTAAACCGCTTGTTCCGCTAACTAATCAGGCCTTGATCGTTTATTACGCAGCATCTACGTTCCGTTTGCTCCAGATCGTTCGGCATGTCGCGATCTGGGTCGTCAAGAGCATCGCGGAGATCTTTTAATCTCAGACTTTGCGGAAAAATACAATCGATTCGGTGAAACACCAGCATCGTTCGTTTGGCAAGCGGATATCGTGTCCGTTCGACGATACCGAATAATCTCGTCTGCTGTTTGCTCAAATTCGTCGATTACGTACACGTTAACGAATTTCGACATCAAAAAATGAATATTTATTGACAATAATTTGCTACATTTGAGTGATATTCAAAATTTAAAGAATTGATCAAGAATATAGGAAAATTTGTCTAATTTGAAGAATTAATGAGATCCAAAGTAATTTTAATTAATCCTATATTATTACAAGAAAAAAACATTGGCATATTTTTCTTCATTACCTATGATTAAAAAAAAGAATTTCAAAACACTTTCAGTCACTGTTAAACCTCAAACTTTGCCACTGTTCTGATATTAAACGCTATGATCATATTGATTGATAATAAACACAACTTCCAATCGAATCAATTGATATCACTGCTCGAGCTAAGCACTCGCACACTGGAAACATTGAAATACGATCATCGTTTATTTGCATCGAAACACTTCCTGATACGTTTCTACAACAATTTTATCCCCAGGTCAACGAACAAGACCCAACATTCTCTGAATTTTGCGAGGCTGGCTTCGATTTGGTTCACGAAGCTACAAATCACTCACTGAGGTAGCAGAGAACTTTACTCTTCAAGTAACTGGAATACGAAACGTTTATCCCCGAGTTCTGAAGTTCCTGATCGATCCACGAAACTCTCGATACAGTTGAAAAAGCGAAGATAATATTTGCTTTCAATCTTGGAAACCTTCTATCGATTTTTCGTTCCGTGAGGTTCAATTTCAAGAAGAGCGTTATCGAGCTTCGGAGTTTCTCAGTGATCTTCCAAATCTTTGATGGATTAATTAATTAACAATTAATGCGATATTCATTTCTTCTATATCTTGGATAATTTTAGGAATTTGGAATCGAAGAATCTTGCATCAAACACGCTATAAATCTTCCCATCAACCTTTATCCAACAAACAGTTTCTCAACTTCACTTTCACATCATCCTCCAATTTAACCCCTAATCAATCACTACGATATCTCCGATCTTCGTCGCTCTCCACTGACAAATACCGGTACATGATGTTCGCTTAAAAAATCACGAAATTCCAATGAGCAACGCACAGAAGCGACCAGGGAATTAGCTATTCCGGAAAATTTTCCTCGAATTTCCCGTCGCTAGAGCCGGTGACCGCGTCTGAACGGTCACTTTCGTCTACGATGATCGCGAAGGCGTAAATCTGGTGCGGGTATCGGGTTCCAAACAGGTATTTTGCTCGGGAAACAGAGGTGAACCGTCGTCGTCACTGGTGTACCGTCCGTCCACTGTAGCATCGTCCCGGTAATATCTGTGACTTTGGCCGGGAAAGAAGGCTTGTCTATTTTAACGGGTCAGAGAGAGGAGCAGGCAGGCGAGCAAAAGTCTGCGAGAGGGAAGGAGGAGTGTAACACTGACAGTACGTATAAGAAGGATGGACGACGATGAAGAGAGAGAAGAATTTCGAGAAGGGTTAACAGAGGAGAGGGACAAAAGAGCTCGTACAGAGGCAGACTCACTTATGCTCGTTCTTTATTTCAAAGATGAAAGAGAGAGATGAGACGAGTGGGAGTACGGAGGAGCAGAGGAGGAGAGACACAATTTATTTGCGGACCCCTGCAGCACTGTGTCAGCATACGACGCTCGGAAGAACAACTTTTCTTCTTTCTTCTTTTTTCGCAATTCTATCTTTCTTACGCTGACGATGCGATGGGCATTGTCATTGCCATTGCACCGTAAATTGGATTGACTTTCGTGAGAAAACGATCGTGGAGATTTCAGTTTCCGGAGGTAAAGTGTCCACTTTTCCTTTCTTCATGATTTCCGATGAAGGGTTGTCTCGAGTCAACCCTTGGACAATGGAGTTGGAAATTTCATGCAAAATTGTAATTGCACGTTTAGTATTCTGTACTTTTATTTGTCAATTTAATTTTAATTTAATCTGAATTACACTTTCAAGGATGAGTAAGAATCCATTATATTTGATTTGTTCTTATTTGCTGTCGTTATCTTTGCTACCACTTTTTCATGGAACTCTGTTCTTTCATAACAAGATATTGTATAATTACACGGTTACTGCATTTATTCGCTTTATCGAACAGTTCGAAAAGTAATTTTATTGGTTTATTGATAGCCTGATATTTAATATCAAAATTCTGTATGAAATTCAACACTGTCTACCTTTTATCTCTTTGTGCATTTTCCGAATGGCAAGCTTTACTTTATCACCAGGCAAGAGAAAAATTTGTCTATTTTATACTGTACACGATAGCGACACCACATTATAATATAAAACACTATAGTGATGTTTCATGTTATCAGAATGAATGTAAAAAACAAGATAAGCGTACGGTCTGATGAGAAATACGAAGATATAGTAGAAAACGAAGGAATGTCTCAACAGTTTTGTACTTGATCTAAATATTTGGCTTCTAAATATGCTGCCTATACGACGCCCAAGAAAATCGAACCAGACGAATAGCTCAAAAGCAACGTAATATTTTTGCACTCGTCGAATGAGAACGTGGGCCAGATAGATCATCTTTATTTATACGTAAATTAAAAATGGAAACATAACATGAGGTAAGCTCGCTCCCTTCCAATTGTAACACATCCTATTTTTTAAATTACAACAATTTTCTTACTGAAAGTTTCAAAAGCATTAAAAACATTTAATAATCCTCAGTTTCTAGAACAGCTGATATTCCTTAATTCTTAGAAATCTTCAATTTCCTAGCAATTTATTATTTCACCTTCAACACATTGAGTGGCAGAAATTGAGTAATTATTTCCTAACAGTCTATATAATCTTTGGGGACAATCAGATACATCAGATGAGACGTTTTAGTTAATTAAAAACATCCTAAAAATCATCGAAAAATTAATGATTTTTGTATCCAATTTTATCAAGACCACTTTGTTTCGACGAGTACAATATGCTCTTGAACTTTGATCCTAATTATTTAAAATAACAGAAACACCGCAAAACATTCACAAACTTACGAGGTTTGAAAATGAATCCCACGACCATCTTGATTCAGATCGCGATGACCAGCATCGATCCTTTTCAAGGATCCTAGACGCACTATGCCCGTTCACAATGAAAGAAGAAAAGCAGGTTTTGACGTATGAACGTTTCGTTATGCCAATTAGACAACGTGTTATCTCACGATTATCTCAAGCAACAACGATACGGTACGATAAAATACGATAACGAATGACTAATTTTCCTCGAGGAGAGAGGTACTCCGTGGTAGGAGGCAAAAATCAAGGCGACGCGATGGGATCCCTATGGATCAACGGGTAAATTAGGATCAACCCATAGCACGTGTGTAGATCGGTTTTCGCACGTGGCTGAAGTTCCCTCTAATCCTCGTGTACGAGTTTGCTCGACGAAACGTGAAAATGGATGCATATTCATGAATCTACCCGACTGCTGAACCTCGTGCACCCTCTTCAACAACCACTGCAGCGTGGTTTCGATGCAGAATGGGCTACGTCTGACCGTGATTTTACCGTACCATCTAATTTTACGCTAATAAACTCGACACTGGATGTAAATCTACTTTCTAATTAAAAATAAACCGTTGAATGGAAAATGAATTAATACGTATTCTAATATTCTTATAAAAATCACCCTAGCGATCTTTATGAAAATTTGTATCGGATCTAACGTATGAAAAATGAATTTATTGTCGTAGAAAATTTCTTGTTTTTTTTATATATATTTGTGATATTTTAAAACGCTCGTGTTTGTCGAGTCACGTTTTCCCAATACACGTGACCACGTACAAGTAATCCGGTATGTTTTCTCTTCAGGACCACGTGTATATCAGCAAATAAAATTTACCTCAACCTCGGTCAACCATTGATTAAATCTGAAAAGTAAGTATTGAAGTTACGGTTCGAATACCGTGCCACTCGAAAACCGATGAGAATAGCGTTGCAAAAGTAAAAGCAACTCGACATCAATTTTTATTCCGTACTCGGCGTGTGCTTTTAACGAATGCGAGTGTTCCGCGTTGCAAGCACAGAAATACAAAAAAGGAAAAAAAAGAAATGAAACATTGCTGTTGAAATGGAATCGAGATGTACGAGTTGAATGGAAATGTTTTTACGCGTTCGATCCAGTTCAAAATTGTAACGAAACTTTCAACCACTAATAGACACCCTATTAGTAACGTGTACTCGTCGATTGATGGAATGAAAACAATTACTCCACGGGTTTTTGTTTCCTTAGGAAGACTACGTACCTGGGGTCTGTCGATTGTGTCAATATAGAAAAATACAAACGGACAGGAAAATTCGTATATTGAGAGAATAATAGATTCGTGTTTCAAATGAAAAAATGTTATCACTATTGTCTTCTAGCAAAATTTCATGACATAAAAATATTAAAAAATAAGATTCATGTCGAAGAAATATTCTTTGCAAATTTGGATATATCCACAGGTCATTAAACAACGCCGTTTATATAAATCTCTCGCATAAATTTTTAATGGATATAAGCCATTTATATTTCCTGAAGGTTTATGTATGAAAATGTTCCTTTTAAAGTCTCTCATTAACCGTGTACATGTGTAAGCAAGCGTAGACAAGTTGGTAAGCTCCTAACGCGAAAACCCCTCCCGTAGGAAACATTTCCGTATTTTCAGAATGCTTGTTATTTTAGTTTCAGAAATACGTAGATTAATCTCCTTTCTGCCTCTGCTATTTAACGGAAGTTACTTGAAACATTTAGCGAGACATTAGGCAGTTAATATTAAATTCAACTTGAAATTAATTTCAGATAATTATTAGTCGTTTTCTGAAATCCTACAGCAATGTAATCTCTCTTACTCTCTTAATCACTTTCAGAAGCGCAATTAGCAGTTTAATTACCGACGTTCTTCACCCTCTACTCTTGTTGAAATATAATTGAAAGATATTCGAGTGATCCGAGAAAAGAACCATCTGTACGAGAGGGTAATAAAAAATTAACCGATATAAAAATAAAAAAGAAATTGAAATAAATACTCGTAAGGAGTATTAAAACTACGCTCGAAATACAGATATTTGAAGAAAATGAGAAGTAATTTATTTATACAGTTGTGACTATCGCGCGATGAATTTCTCGGTGAAAGGGTTAATGTCGATGGATCTATTTTTCAGAAGCAACAGCCAGAACACGATGGACACGCTATGATTTCAACCAACAACAAATCAACTCGCATTAAACGCAATTACCCACCGACATATGACGTAGGGTAGCGAGTTAGTTGCTACTCGTTATCCGACAAATTGATCAAACTGCCTTTACTTAAGCGTGTCTGTCCATCAGTCGCCCTGCTGCGAGCTCGAACGTATCGGTTCTGATAAGTTGCACCTGTTATTGTACAATGTCTAAATAAAACCGCGACAAGTACCCACATGATTTTAAGTATTCCTTGTGAATTAAAGATCACAATCGCGATAATTATTTTCAAAAGCAATTTTTAACTACCATCTACCCTAACATGATATTATTTTGTTTTTCAACAAACAATTTCAATAAAATTTGGGATTAAGTCATCAAATCTTTTTTTATAATTAATATTATGTAATAATTTTATTCAAAAGTGAATAAAATATCTATACATATCACGATTTAAACTATGTATCAGAATAGAGCCTACCAACATAGTAATCAGTGTGACCAACCACGCTAAATAAACAAAGGAAAGTTCCCACACAATCGATCGATCTCTCGAATCGTAGATTTTGAAACGATCTCGATCTTTCGAACATCGAATATGATCCCCATGGAAATACTGTCGCATTGATCATGAAAATAGGGGGGTAACTCTTTGTCTGAAGGGTGCGAACGCGGGCAGAAAACTCGTGACATGGGCAGCTGTTCGAATTACATTGGGCTCGCCCCTGGCGCGTGGACGGTTTATTGACACACTCTCCAGGCGACCGCGTATTATTACCAACGTGCATTCTCCATGAAAAGTATGGTCCGTCTTTCAAAAATGACCGTCAGGTCATCGGAACATGACCTCAGGGTCCGTGGACCGCGAGAGGGATATTCGATTCCAATTCGATTCTTTTGGTCGAAAGATTGATCTCTCGAATCGATTTCTAACCCTAAAATATCGAAAATCGATTCTTCTTTCCCCAATTTTTGTTACTTATTAAACTTATGTGTAGCATTTCTTATAAATATGGCAATTAAAATTCTAGCAAGATCGATTTTTTATGAGAATCGATTCTCATGATTCGATTCGAGAATCGATTTTTCTAAATAAATCGAATCGAGAATTTCAATTTGTAAAGTTGAAAGGACGCGCGGAGCACTTCATGATCTCGATGAATCGAACGAGAGATGAAGCTGCGAACACTGATTTACCGAGCGGTTATTGTTCCGCTGATGATTAGCATTCGCCGAGTGTAATGTTTGTCGAAAGATACATTTACATCTTTAAGGAGAATGTAAATGAGTAGCTATGATACATTACGCAGACCGGAGAAGATGAATAGAAAGAGACACGATAGAAGAGGCGTGCTTCGGGGTACACGCATATGCTTTTGACGTTTCGCGTCCGGTAGCGTCAGTGAATGATCAGCTCTCGTTAACATTTTAGATTGTCGCGACACACGATGAAACGAATGTTTAAGAACTTCCTCGCTCGGTAACGTTCACTTCGTGAACGAATAAAAACTTGACTGACAAGAAGAAAGAAAAAAGGAACAACGGTCACGGCGGCCGGGTTCCACCGTTGTTATGGAACATCGTACGTTTCTTTTTCAATCGTATAGGTCATAGCGCAAATGCCACTTACCTGCATGCTTCTCCGACTTCGGCGTGGAGGCCATCGCTACCCGGTAGTATGTCCTCTCGAACCACAACACTATCTCACCATTTCCGCGAATGACCGCATCGTAAACTACACACCAGTGGTTGCCGCGGCGTTTTCAGTCTGATGTAAACCCGACGTGCACCGCTACATCTTCGTTTGTCAGCCATCTTTCGAGGCGCGAGCGCCGGAACCGCCATCACACGACCGAGATTTGTACCCAGCCACCAGACCAATATGGCTGACGGACTGTCATTCGGTTGACATTTCATTCAATTTTCGTTGGCATACTTGAACGGCTGACTTTCGCCAGCGGAACGTATTCCGCGGCCACGTGCGTACAAGTGTAAAAAATTACGACACTGATTAGCTCGTAGCTCGAAATTACGAGTATCGCCGTGTTAAAATTAATCGGAGTAGTGGCGGCGCAACGACTGACTCTCTTCGCACGCCGGTACAGTGGCGTACAAAAGTCGACATCCACCACATGATCGAATACAGTCTGTAACAAAAAAGTAATTAAATGGCTTTACGATAACCCTACCAAAGAAGAGGAGTGAGTACTAAGCAACTAGAATGCACGAACAAAAGTCAATGTGATACCCTTAAAAACTGAATGATCCTCTTTGCAAAATATATTCTTCTGTTTATAACCTTCAAATGTTACTACAAAGGAATTGTTATTGATATACTGTCATTCAGAGATTATTAATACTGATAAACCAAAGATAAAAGTACGGATTTAGTTCCATTAGGTGAATTTGAAATAAAGTTTTATGTCAACGCAAAATGGGGAGTTCTGGTTTAAGACAGCATTATGAAACCGCGAAGAAGACTGGCACATTAAAATTATCGCAAAGGAAACTTGACGAATTTCCACAGAATCTACGTGCCTTAGCGCCATTGTTACGCACATTGGATCTTTCTGAAAACAAATTTACTCGCATTCCAGACGATATCGGTAATTTTACTTTACTGAAGCAACTGAATATCAGTCACAATAAACTGATAGCTTTACCAGAAGCTCTCGGAGCGCTGACAAAGTTAGAGGGCTTAAACGCGAGCTCAAATCAGATTAAAAGTATACCATGGTCTTTATCGAAACTGACGCGTTTAAAACATGTCAACCTGTCCGACAACCAGATTACCGAATTTCCCACTATGTTTTGTGGTTTCAACTTACTGGATGTACTAGACCTGTCCAAGAACCGAATCACAATGATTCCGGACGCGGCCGCAGCGTTGCATGTGGTTGAACTTAACCTCAATCAAAATCAAGTATCAACTATCTCGGAGCAACTGGCAATTTGTTCACGCCTAAAAACGCTTAGACTCGAAGAGAATTGTTTGCAACTAAAT